GGGAGGTGGAGGTTGCAGTGAGCTGAGATTGCACCACTGCACTCCAGCCTGGGTGACAGAGTGAGATTCTGTCTCAAAAAAAAAAAAAAAAAAAATTTATCCCTATCAGCCTTCAGTTCTCTTCATTGTTACTGTGTTTATCCTTAGCAGCCACCTCCTCTTTCTGGTATACTGTTTTCAGTGTACCATGGCATAGCATGGATTGGTCAAGCTTGCTAGAGTTATGTGTAAACAAAGAATGAATAGGCCCTAAATGGAGCCTGAGAGTCTTATTTCCAGAATAAAGTATACATAATAACTGTTTTGGCTTTTCAGAAGGCATTTCTTTTTTATGTCACATGATTGAAGTTTCTGGAAAGCTCACTTATGCAAAATTGGGAGTTAGAACTTTAATAGGGAAATATCTTTTCATGGGTAATTTAAGACTTACTGTAGGTTGAGTATTCCTTATCCTAAATGCTTGGGACCAGAAGTGTTGCAGATTTCAGATTTTTTTTTTTTTGGGATTTTGGGATATTTGCATTATACCATTGGAGCATGCCAAATCTGAGAATCTGAAATCTGAAATGCTCTCCTTGGCGTTTCCTTTGAGCATCACCTCAGTGCTCAAAAAGTTTTGGGTTTTGGAGCATATTAGAATGCCAGATTTTACACCACATTGCTTTTTTTTTCAGGGCTGTTGATGTGTGGGCCATTGGTTGTCTGGTAACTGAAATGTTCATGGGGGAACCCCTATTTCCTGGAGATTCTGATATTGATCAGCTATATCATATTATGATGTGTTTAGGTAAGGTTACACATCTGTGTTTTAAATTTTAGAGATTTTTCTGCATATTCATTTGTGCATGTGTGTTTGTGATTTTTTAAGCTGTTGCATTAAAGATTATATATGTTTTAAGTGAAGGTAGGGAGCATATAGGAAAACTGTGTGTGTGTGTGTGTGTGTGTGTGTGTTGAGATGGAGTTTCGCTGTCCTTGCCCAGGCTGGAGTGCAATGGTGCAATCTCGGCTCACTGCAACCTCCGCCTCCCGGGTTCAAGTGATTCTCCTGCCTCAGCCTCCCGAGTAGC